ATACAGAATCTTAAAAAAGAGAGAGATTTAATTGATTTTTTTTTTTTTCTCGCCCTGGCGCGTACATATAACACAGAGAGACATACAGACGACGCGAGAAAAAAAAAGAGAAAGAGAGATATGGGGATACATTAGACACACAATTTCTCGCACTCGGACACACACACACACACACACACACACACACACACACACACACACACACACACACACACACACACACACAGAGAGAGAGAGAGAGAGAGAGAGAGAGAGAGAGAGAGAGACAGACAGACAGACAGACAGACAGACAAACTGACAAACTGACAGATAGACAGAGACAAAGAGAGATTGACAGAGAAATAAATACATACATAGATAAGAGAGAGAGAGAGAGAGAGAGAGAGAGAGAGAGAGAGAGAGAGAGAGAGAGTGATGGAAAGGAAAAGTGAGGCAGAAAGATAGAGAGAAAGAGAGACAGAGAGACAGAGGCATATTATGAATCATAAACAGACCGATAAATCCAGAGAAAGAGAGAGATCGGGAGAAAGAGAGGTAGAGAGAGACACAGAAAGAGAAAGAGACAGAAAGATAAAGTCAGAGAGAGAGAGAGAGAGAGAGAGAGAGAGAGAGAGAGAGAGAGAGAGAGAGAGAGAGAGAGAGAGAGAGATAATAGTAGTAGTAGTAGTAGTAGTAGTAGTAGTAGTAGTAGTAGTAGTAGTAGTAGTAGTAGTAGTAGTAGTAGTAGTAGTAGTAGTAGTAGTAGTAGTAGTAGTAGTAGTAGTAGTAGTAGTAGTAGTAGTAGTAGAAGTAGCAGAGTAGCAGTTGTAGCAGTAGACAGCTAAACTCTTGACAGATCAAATCAATACCTGAAACAACTAAACAAGCCAAAGCCCAAACAATTACATACGGAAGACTAAATCAAACATGACCTGAAGCTGATTCTTTATTTCTGTATAATATTGGAAGGGTATGGCCGGCCTTCAGAGTTTGAGCGGATCACTAAGCGGTGGTGACGTGGCCCACGTAGTGCCTGATCCAGCTCAGATACGCGGAGACTCTGGTGTAGACGCTGGGCAGAGTTCCGCTGCAGGTTTTCTCTCCCCAGGACGTGACCCCGGCCAAGATGTCATGTCCATTTCCACACATCATGGGTCCTCCGCTGTCCCCCATACAGGCGCTAGGAGCCTGGCCGGTATGCCTGTCTGCCTCGTGGACACAGATGTGAGAGTCCGTGATAGCCTGGCCTGCCCAGAGGCTGTCGCAGCGATCATTGGTGATTTTGGTGATCTTCACCTCTTTCAGGGTCTCGGCGTCTTGGGGGTTGGAACCTGTTCTGATCGCACCCCAGCCGGCCAGCACGCATTGTGTGTAGGCGAAGGAGGAGCCGCTGGGAGCCAGACGAGCGAGCTGTATGTTTTTATTGAGAGTCGCGTCTTTCGTCAGGTAGATTAGGGCGATGTCGTTGGGGATCCCAGACCCCGTGGCTCTGTAATGCGGATGTTTGGTGTAGTTTGCAACTTTGATGGTTTCTTCGTATTGGTTTGGATTCTCGTACAGATTCAGAGCGCCGAGCTCTATCCGCATATCGCTAGTGACAAGACCATCCACGCAATGAGCAGCGGTGAGCACCCACCTCCTGTGGATGAGTGATCCTCCGCAGATATGTTTCCAGCCTGAAGAAGGCCATTGTCGGACATAATATTGCAGAGAGGCGATGTACGGGTGAGAGTACAGAGCTGCTGGGTTTCCGTTGATTATTCTCTTCTCTGACACGGCTGATGCCGCCAGGCACAGCAAGATGACCGCAAGTACCTTCATGACGTCACTCAAACTGGGACACAGAAGTAGCTGGCTGTTGGACTGTTGTGCTGGTGTGGTCACTGCAGCTTGTAGGCAGAGGATATCTCAACAGAACCCTGTCCTTCTCTTAAATAGAGTTGTCTGAAACATGGAGGCGAGGCCAGTGTCTGTCCACGAGTGTTTTATATGACACATCATAAACAGCTCTCACCTGCCAGCAATAATGAATTTATGAACCCCACGCCCAAAAGAAGAGTTTTTAGGCAGCAGTATTTTTAGGGTAATTTTTTCAAGGCAAAAAAATATGTACATTTATCAAAATATTGAAATCCAAGAAACCGACTTTTTTACGCCTGTTGGGCAATAAAATATAGCTGTTACATTTTAATTTTTTAATTAGGGGAGCGGGACCTTTTATGCCCCTTAAATAATGCATTTCTATGTAGAATTTACTTTAAAACTTTGATCAATTCAAAGATTTTAAAAAATGTAAATTTTCATCATTTTAATAGGACACTCTAGGTTTGGAAGCCCCAATCCTTAGTGGCCATTATATCGTTAATTTTAACGATCCCTGCCTCTTTCAATTGCAAATATATACCTACACTTATATTCAGGATAGAAAGATATTTTTTAATCCAAAGTAAAGCAAATATACAACGTTTAAGACAAAAAACCCAATAATTCACGGGCTAAAACGTTGTCGAGCGCACGATTCTACCTTGTCGTGACTCAATTTATGTTTACAACAGCCATAAAGACCCGTCCGAAACTTGCTGTTTGCATCACGATATTTCTGAAAACGGTCAGGTGAGAAAGAACATCATAACATTAATGATAATTGGCCCTTTAGCACTTGACCGCAACGCCTCCGTGCTGTGAAGGAGCCTATGTGCTCAGAGAAACTGCAGTGGAGAACCCTGGAGAACTTTATGGCTTGGGACGCGACATGTGGACTGTGGTGTATACGTTCTAGCGTCAGGAATAACGTCTTGTTGTTTGTTTGGTTGACACCACATGCCATTTCCTTCCCAACTGTAGTGTTGCTATTCTCATTTTGATTTAAAAGTACAATTATAATGATCTGTTTATAGCAGAGACATCTGTTATCCATGTCCGCGTTCTGTTTCTGCAAACGTTGCTAATATTACTAATAATAATGTGACAAGACTATAAATATTGACGTATGCTATTTATAGAGGCCCCTGCCATCAGCGCCCAGTCTTGTTTTAGCTAATGTTTGAGCACCTAAGAAAAAAACACACATTATAGTACGATCAAAAATTCGTCTTGCAACGTATTGTCAAATATTTAATAAACTGTCGGAACATAGACTCTCCAGCTTTTGCACAATGGCTGGTTTCAATTTGTTTTAACAGCTAAATATTTTTTAAACATATGTTATATTAGTTGTATATCTAGAAAATTCTGTAATAAATACTGATAAAATATCAAAGTGGGTGGTTTTGACAGATTTTATAAGATTTACAGCTGGAGCAATATCGGTATAATTTTTCGGATCGTAACACTTTTAATTGAACTCAGGGTTTGAGAACTTTTTTTCTTTTTTAGTGGATAACATGTGTTCACTATAGTATTAATATCGTATAATAAGTTATAACAAGTTTTACCACTAAAAAGACAATGTCATTTGTTAGCTGTGACGTTGGCGACAAGCGGGAGGTGCTGTGAACAATTCCATTTTTCGCGTGGCGGACATTTAGCCTAGTATTTTATGAAAATTTTCGGAAAAAAAAGGTTTTTAAATCTAGCGACAGCTGTTTTTGAAAATATGATTAAGTTAAGAGAAACTGGCCCCGCGGAAAATTGCATTTTTTAAATAGAAAAATTGCAAAAAATTGCAAAGTAAACCGCCAAAAAATTGCAAAAAATTGCAACCTTCCCATCCCAGGCGCATTAATACGGGCTTAACTTTTTTAGTTAAAAAAAAACATGACAATTTTGAGTACCGGTAGCTTAAAAGCAGCACAGCCTTTTAAATAATCATGACAAACAATACAAATTCATCAAATGTTATTAACAACATTTATTAGTAACAACACACGAGTACGTTAACAATAAAGTTATCGACCAAATGTAATATATGATAACGTGTGACACAAAATAACGGAACCCTCGGTTTTCGTAATAACTTTTAAATGAAGGCATAAAATTTGACCAAATTTAGTACATACCAGGTATTTGGTTCATGCAAAAATGTAGAAGTGTATGAGGTTTAGTCTATAAAAAACAAAAAAAAATTGACGAGAGATTTTGGAAACAACCTCTAAATACAAAATAAGCTTATGCTCCAATCAAATCAGATCCTGTTCAATTTTTCTCTTGAAACCTTCGATACACCGGTAATCTGTATTTAGATCTATTTCTTCAGATATTTTCTATTTTAAAACCGGCATGGTATTGTTTTAACACTAAGTAAAATCGTAAAATACAGCAATTTTTTCCCCCATTTATAAACAATAGTAATACATGTACTAATGGAGATCTAGATAATTTCTATAGCATCCACTCCCGTGTGAACGCAGCTTAATTAAGGCGTTTTACATAACGGGGTGTTTACGTACACGGTACGCGGACACGTAGTCTCAGTGTCACCAAAGAGTCTACATAACAAGAGGTGCCACTTCTCTCTTTGAGCCAATTAAAAAGGTGTCCTCAAAATTCGGTGGCACCCTCTTCGCAAAAGCGCACCTTTAGCGCACAGAGTTATCCTACTTGAGTTTAAAAAATCAAAGCGAAACTAGATCTAGCAAGTTTTTGAATGAATTTCGGAAGAACGCTTTTTAAAAATGGTTACGCTGACAAAAAACCTCTTCCGGAGGAAAGGCGAGAGGTCATTAAAAAATTTTTTAAACACCTAAAACTCCGCACTGAACGAACCCGAACTCTGATGAACAGCAGTCGATCTGCGCACGCAAGGAGGTGCTATTCCTATTCTTCTTCTGGAAAAACGAAAGAGAGCTTCAAAACAGACTGCAGCGCCATCTGAAGCAAAGAGCATACTTCCTGCGGACTCTTTTTTGGCTGAATGGCCCATCTTGTTATTTACTATCTTTGGTGTCACGTACGTTGTAACCGGGCAGTTAAGAATTCCAAGTTCAGTTTTTGTCATCCGATCCGATGTTGCCTTCAACTTCAGCCCCCCCCCCCCCCCCCTGACTGTACATTTTTTTTTTAAATCAATAATTCTCCCATTC